ATATATATACACACATTTTATATTATATTTAGTGTGGCTAATAAAGCCAAAATGTTACCTTCAGAATGAAAATTTTGAGTGTTGCAGTCCCTCAAAGAGGACATGAGTGGGTTAGATTTTGGCACTTTTTAATTTGGCTTATTTCTTCTACCATCTTAAGCCCTCATAACTTCTTCTACAAAATATATCTACGTAAAATGAACCTTTAATTTCATTTATACTCCGTTTAAAAAGTGCAACCATATAAACTTTACACCTGCTCAAAATGTCACATCCTACAATAGGAGAGAATGCATGTATTTGTCTCTGTACAGGTGCACAATGACATTTGGAGCATCTCCCTGAGCAGTGCATACAAATAAGATGCATCAAATACAAACTTATTTTAATTTGAAGTGAAAGTTAAAATAGACACACATACCCATTACGCTGTCCTTAATGATCTTAGACAGGATGTTCATAGTAGAGGCAGTGTAATGTGTTTTTCTATAGCCCCTGAGCAAACTTTGAGCATCAATATTATGGGATATATCCGAGCTTCAATAGCAAAACTGCACAAATTTAAAATCTGTGAGAGTGAAAGTAGTATTAAATCATGACTGTGTTAGAAAATGATTTTGATTTCAAAGGAGAAGGTGGCCCCAGTGTAAAAATGTAGGTAAGTGATATATCTTGTTTTGACTTGCCTCCAATCTGACATTTAAAATTGACCCAAGTGCTTTTTTTTTTTTTTTTTTGGACCAAAAAACAGATAAAGAAAAGAAAACAGGGTATAAAGGCCTGCTTGTGTTATCCTATGGCACAGATATTAAATTAGTGCAGTTTTGCTTTTGAAACTCTAATATATCCTTTTTAAAACTTCAGCTCCTGACACTTGCAGTAGGCGTTACATCGGTTTGGTTGCTGCTTTTAACAAAGCTCCAATTTGTTTTTCACCTCCTAAGTTGTGAGTATTCAAAAATTCTGGAGAAATACTGTAGACTATAAAAAGGCGTAGTCGGAGGGCCTGTAACTCATTTTGAAGGAGGAAGCATGGATTCATTACATACAATAAAGTTATTGTACTAAAAAAAGAATATCTGATACTGATAGGAGGACAGATGGAAGGCACTGATCGATTTTTCATTGAATGTGTTTAGATTTATGGTCCCATGCTGCTCTCTGCTATTTAGATCAATGGGAAAGGCATCAGTAAAACGGGGTTGGAAGCTGTGGTCGACTGCACACATTTGATAAAAGTGATGGTCGTGCATTAGTGCACCCAGTAAAAGTAAAGAGCAACTCCTTCTCAGATGAATGAGGATGTCAGTGCAGGATGTAATCAGACTGTCACCAAGAACCGCCCTACTGTAAAACAATTACAGTAGAGCTGCACTGCATTCATCCCTCATTACAATGAACAGTGCACATTTGAGAGCAAGTGGTCGTATTCTCGACTGGTGGATAAGCGCCTGAGTGGCAGAGAGCAGTCTCCTAGCATGGTTTGTCCCCTCATTGAAAGTCAATATGAAGATTTTAAACGATGGCCTTTCTCCTGTGATGAAAAAGTTCTATCCCGGTGGTAGTCGTCTCTTCCAGGAGCCATCCTCAGGGAACTAAATGGTTTAAATATGAATGTAAATGTAAATTTTATGTCATGGCTTTCACAGTCACTAGATCTCTTACTAAAATGCTTTATATTGGGGGTTTATTTCCATTAATTTGCCTGTAGTTAAATGTTTGGTATTGTGTAACAAGCATGCGAGACAATTAATTTCTTGTTAGCAAAAATACAGTTTTAAAAACGTTTGCTTTGCTTTTGGCTTTTCTCTGCACTGAGTTCATGCTTTAAGGCCATTAATAAGGTTCTCTAACTAATCTAGGGTCATATATAACCAGTTTGGTAATATGTAAAAACACCATGATGTCCTGGCAAATCCTGGAATGTTTGATCTTGTCTGCATTGTGTAGTTATTGCTACTTTTTTTTAATCTCACTGATATTTACATTTAAAGTAGTCAAACTTGAAACTAAAATTGTCATTTTTTTCCATCAAGTTTTTGCTGTAAAACATTTTGATCTCAATTAAACCTGTATGACAATCTGACACTGATGTCATGAATCCAAATCACCCAGTTTAAGCCACTGAGTGTGAGTTTTTAAGTTTTAAAAATATATATATTTGAAATACCACAAAGAGATGTCTAATGTCTATTTCTGAGGATAAAATCTGTGTGGAAAATCACAGAACTGTTTATTGATTTTGAGGGAGGCTTAATGCTGGAGTCAGTCCATAAAATACTGCCAGCTTTTAATCAGTTTCATGAGGATTCAAAGGCGGAAAGAGCAGAAACACTCAGTATCCTCAGCGGTGGCTGCAGCTCTGTCTGCGAGGACTTTTAAAGATGAATCTGTCTTGTGAGTCCTGTGTGGCGGTTATTAGCTCTGACCTCAGTGACGACCATCCATCTGTCTCTCTAATGGTCGCAGGGGTAAGTGTAGCATGTCTAACTAACCTCGTGTCCTTCACTTCTCTTTCAGGTTGAAATGTCCTCTGCGAAGCACCAACAAACGCTTCCTCCTCAACACGCTGCGCTCCACCGGCCTGCAGCGCTGCACTGGCGAGCCCGGAGCCGGACACTCCACCGCAAGGGGGCGCCTGAGGAGCGATTCCCCAGACAGAGGCCGCAGCAGGACGCCTCCCAGAGATCACAAGAGTAATGGAGGCCACATTGATCATAAACATCATCACAGGGACGGCCGCAGAGACAGAGATAAGAAGCTGGATAGAGACAAAGACAGACGCCACGGAGGCGACAGAGAACGGAGACGCACTGATAGACCGAGCCGAGACAAAGACGCGCACACACACACAAACTCCACGAGTTAAAATAGCCCAACTGTGTGTGTGTGTGTGTGTGTGTGTGGACTTAAACCTGAGAGGATCTGCTGACTTTGCTCAGAATGAGCTACACGAAACTTTAAGTTCTTGTTACACCGGATTGTAAAGGTGGACAATTGTCTCTCATGATGGGTTCAGTTGCTGCCCCCCTCTCCCCCCAGTAAACTTTTGTCTGAATAACACATCCCACACGTTTATGTTCTTCATTCTCTTCATCATAGTTTGATGCAGTTATGCTTCACCCATAAGAGCAGGCTTTGTTTCAATCATAATGTCATTACCATTTTTCTGTTATTATTCACTAGCCATGATGTTTACATAGGCCACGCTGCAGTCGCCACTGGGTAAGCACATGTTATCGCCTGTCCAACTTTTTGACATGTATACACCAGCTATCACAAAGGGTTTTGTTTGTCAAAGGAGAGAGGAAAAAAACTTTGTTTTCCCGACACTCCTACATGCGCCTGTGCTTGTGGTTCAGTGGTCTCCAGAGGATTATGTGTGGCAGTGAAGTATTTTAACCCTTTAACACATACAGTATTTTCACCTTTTGTAAGGTTTGAGGATGGGTGGACGTTTGCCGAAGCCTTCAGTGTCCTCTCCATTTAGCCTCCTTTTTATTTTTTACTGTTTCACAGCCTTATATAAACGCGACAAATGTCAAGCTCTTTGGCCCTGATTACACACGGCTCAATTACAGCCGTGTGTCACTCCTCGCTTAGGCCATTACATAAGGGGAAAAAAAAATCTGCAGCTTGAAAGTTGGCTAAAGTGCATCTGAGGCGCATCATGCTTCATAAATCACGTTGTCTCCACTGTAGAGGAGAATGGCTCTGGTTAACTGTTTCCTTCCTCTTTGAAACAATAATCAAATATAAACACCATTAAGCCATAGTGCAGGCGGTGTTTTGTGTAGAATTGGTTTACTTGAACTTTATTGCATCGCTGAGTGCCCCATTAAGATACAGTCGAAAGTGGCATAATTGCTTCTGAAGAACTCCGGGCAAATACGGTCTATTGATACACACCAGCGAGGTAAAAGCCCGATCTTCCTGTAATTTTTCCTGAAAAATAAGTAAATCGCGTTCGTCTCCGCGTTGCGTAAAGGCGACACCGGAGAGCTCGAGGGCTGTGGAGACACGCTCCACGCGCACGGCTGTTAATTGAGTTCAGTCCAGTCACTCCAGCCTAATTGATTTAATGGCGCGAGCACACGCCGCCGCTGAAGCCTAATGACCAGCAAACACCGGCGAGAGTGCAGCGAGCGAAGTGGCCGCATGAGCTCTTGTTTGTTGTCGCCAAGATACCTGCGTGCGGAGATCGTGGGTCCATGCGTGCGAAATGGTGTTAAATGATGCATTTACAAAAGTATAATGGGCGCGTTTTAAACGTTAGAGGGGGGGAAAGCAGATAAATGAAAAAAGTGGGCTGTGTGTGGTGTTTGAGCTTTTCGCCAGAGTTTCCAAGACAACTGTTTCTCCATCCACGTCTCTTATCTGGCGGGTCAACCAATGTTTGCGCCCATACGTATCGATTTATCAACCTTAGTGTGCACACGAGAGATATATCCATATAAAATGTCGATGGCTGTGCTGTTTGAGGACAATCCAGCTTGCCTTGCGTGAGATTCGTGCTCCTTCCAGACGCTCTTGATTAATAACTCCCTCTTTTGCCCCACATGTGGAAGGAGCAGTTGCACGGTCACCTGTTTTTGTTGTTGTTGCTGCTGCTGCTGCTGCTGTTGGGGTCAGACACAGGTGGATGCCAGGTAAACCTTGCGGTATTTACAGAGTACCATTGATTTACGCGCTCTTGTTCAGTTGGCTGGGAAAAAAAGCTCACAGAGCTGCAGAATATCCTGGAAACTGGGAGCTATCGGCCTGCCGTTTTTGAGCAAATAGTGAAACCAATGGCTTGGGCGCTACAGGATCACATGGTGGCAGAGTGACACACCTGTGTGGAGCAGTAAGGGCCTCGCAGTTGCGCCTGAGGCAGGTAGGGCTGAAGGTTTACGCTGAGGTAGGGCGCAGGTTACGGTGCGTGTGTGTGCGCAAACGGCCCCCCTGCAGACACGGGTCCTCGCCAGCCATGAATCGGGAAGATCACTTTTATCCCTCTCAGGTTTTTAAAGACTCCTGCGCGTACCAGAGATCACAGGGTGATGACTACAGCCACAGCAGCCCGCCACCCTGCCTCTACATGAGCAGGCAGGTCCACTCCGTCTACACACCGCCGTCCATGGGAGCCTTGGAGCAGGCCGGCCTTCCTGACATTGCTACCACTTACAGTTTGCCGAGTATGCGGGAGGAACCTGGCGTACCCCAGCTCCTCCACCACCACCAGCACCAGCAGCAACAGCAGACGCTCCAGCCGCCTCCAGGCTACAGTGACCCCGTGGAACAGAGCAGATATCACCTGCCATTCCCCTGGATGAAAACCACTAAATCCCACTCACACACCTGGAAAGGACAGTGGGCAGGTAAACACTCAAACAAATCAGCGTATACAGTGTGATTATGAGCGTACTACAGAATCTGACTGAGGGGGGTTAAAGTTCTTAATTTGAGTTCAAAGAGGGATTCAAATTAAAATATGAGACAGTCATGTTTGCACAATTTAGCTACATAACAAATAACTTTCAACTAACTCCTTCTGAGGCCTTTAATGACATCATGGCCCCAACAATACGATCCTGGGTGTTTCAGTTTACCTGTCAGTCATTTTTGTAAAAGGCCCGGGAGGTGAGCGGTTGCTTCATATGAGGTATTATCGTCACAAAAATGTGAGTTTTGTTTGTACAAAAACATTTTCACAAATCACGCTATCTTTAGCCACGAGCAGCCTAATAATAGTCTTTTATATTGCCAAGTCGTTTGTAATTCTAATGTGGTCTTGATAACGTGGAACAAAAAAAACCTCTAACATGTAATGAACTTTTTAAGGAAAGTATTTTTTAGGGAAGAGTTTTCAGTGGACTGAATTTCAACAAACTTGGAGAGGCTTTACGTGCAGCGAGTTTGCGTAAAAGCAGTGTCGTCGTTAGGAAAACCCCCATTTTGGTTAAAATAAAAAAAAAGCAAATAAAGTTCTCGTACTTTTCTTACATCAGAATGAAATTCCCAGAAAACATTTCTTCTGATTCTCTCTCCTAAAGAACTCTCAATAGAAGCGTCATGTATGAACGAGCCACTCTCATAAAGTCGAAACTGAATAACTTACACTCTGATATAGCAGGCCCACGTTGTTTTATTATTCTGAGATACTTAATGGACAGTGTAAACTTATTATATATGACATTTTGAAACAGTTACTATGAACTTAAAAAAACCCCAAAAGTTTTTAAAATCAGCATGAACGACGGTAACGGGAATGATGCCCAGAATCGAAACTCTAAATTAGTGCCTTACAAATAGGCAATAATTATAATCAGTGGCTTCACATGATTCATATTAATTTCTAACAACTTGACTATGTAAATCTATTTAAAAAATAGTCTGCATGATGGCGTATTTCAGTTTCACTTTGAAAATAAATGTATATTAAATGCAGTATTTATTATTATCATTATTATTATTATTATTTGGAACGTATTAAATACAAATTTAGCTGCACATTCAACGTCATAAATGAATGAATAGTCTTTCTTGTATTGATGTTCAAAATGAACAAATTATATGAGGGAATTTAGGGTCCTCGGGTAAAATAAAACGCTCTAGAAGCTCTTCAAACTAACTGATGCGTGACTGATAACGTGCAAATAAAGACAAGAATTACTTTTCTATAATATTTTAAATCTTTGTTTTTTACTTGACTGTTTTAAATGTAAAAAAATATAATTGAAAATGGAAGAGATCATTTTTTTAACAGTCAGTTCATTAAAACGTGGATCTCATCGAGTTGTGGACGTAATTAATTAATTCATTTATTTTAAAGAAGCGGTATATGGATTCTTCTAAGGCGTCTAAAAACTTATATTGTTTCGGTCTTTATCTTCAACAATATGAAAATACTTTTTAAAAAAATTAAAACTTATATACAGTTTTCTGTGACTGTAGCAAATACTTCCTGGTTGTGGTTTATGATATGCACAGTAATTAATCTGCTTTAATTTCAGCTCTGGGTGATCACGTGCACTGGGAAATATGTTTTGTCCTTGAAGGAAATGTTAATTTAATCTCTAAAACAAGTAATTATAATAAGCTTCACCCCTAAAATCTAAATTAAACCTGTTTGAATAACCCCCCGTAATAATCACCTGTTTTTTGGCCAAGTATTTGGTTAGTACTGGTTAAATAAAGAGTGGCTGGAGATTCTTCTTTACATTCATTTTCAAGATTTATTTTTTACATGAATAAAAAACACTTTTCATAGTTTACAATTAAAAATGTAAATTTACACTTGAAGTGCTTCAGATTTTAATAAAAATTCATTTTTATTACATATTCTTGTTTTTAAAGGGCGCTAATTCTCCGTGTGGTTTTAGGGTCATACGTGATGACTGAGAATGAAGAAAACAAACGCACGAGGACTGCGTACACGCGCGCCCAGCTGCTGGAGCTCGAGAAGGAGTTCCTTTTCAACCGCTACATCTCGAGGCCGAGGCGCGTGGAGCTGGCGCTGACCCTCAGCCTCACCGAGCGCCACATCAAGATCTGGTTCCAGAACAGGCGCATGAAGTGGAAGAAGGAGGAGGACCGGAGGAGGGCGAGGGGGGCCGACCCCGACCAGGACTCCTCCATCACCTCTGGAGACCAGGGGGAGGCCGCTGGAGGGGTTTCCTCCTCAAACGGACCACACCCCACCACACCCCCCGTGTCCCCTCTGCACGGTCTGTCTGCCTCCGGCTCCAGAGAGAGCGCATAGATCCAGCGGATATATTTTTAAGACTTTAAGATTTTTAAGACTCAGACCTGAACTCATATTTAAGGGATCATTTTAACTTTGACTGAAACTCAAATCCAAGTTTTAGGAAACATGTACATATATTTTTTTTCTGAAAAGATTGATGGTATTTAGGGGTGGGGGGATATTTCTGTAAAGTGCTCGTTTACAGGGACCCTTCAGAAATTTCTCTTGGACCACCATAAGCCCCCTGACTGGAGTCCACAGTCTGTTGATTCAGGACTTATTTACTGACGTTTCTTCATCGCCAAACATCCTCTGAGATAGGTTCAACACCAGATGGCACGCGGAGACAACAAATTCACGAACTCCTTTCCCGACAGCGGACCACAGACATGATTATCAGTGCTGTTGTTTTCCATACATCAGTGTACACTTGTATATACACTAAGCTGTATTATGGAGATTGTTAATTAGAATCAATGATCCACATGTTTTATTGATTGAGATTTTATGGATACATTCAGAATTAAAATATACCACAGCCTTTGAGCCCGGGAGTGATGAGGTTTAGAGGCAAACTGGCGCAAAACTCAACCTCCGGCACTTCATAATTTGTTCGCGCCATCAGTAAGCAGCAGACTTTGGAGGCGCAAGCGGCAGATCTTCTTCACCTCCTCGATGCCGCGCGCTCTCTCCACTGCGCGCTCGTTCTGGCAGCGCTCGGACAGCTGCAGCAAGATGTTCGCTTTGTCGTTCATCCGGGCGCAGATGACAAATGGAAATTCGAAGCGCTTTTTATACTCCTCGTTGAGACGGGCCATGCGCTCGGCTTCCCCCGAGGTCAGCGCGTCCATTCCGGCTCCCGCCTGCTCCTGGCGCGACTCCCGGGTCAAGGTGCCTCTCTGCAGGTCCCTGCCGGCCAGATCGGGGTGACACCTTAGGATCCCCTCTTTACCTGCACATACAACCGATCATTTCTGCCAGTTTAGAGCATTAAACTGATACAAGCCTACTTATTAAACAAACGCGTAAAAATTAACCCGAGCACAGGGTAGAAATGTTAATAAACTAATTCCGTGGATCACCTGATTCTGGGAGCTCGTCGATGAAGTCACTGATGGCGGCCTCCAGAGCATTTAAACTCACAAACGGACGCCTCGACCACACAGCGGCTGTTATAACAGGACATTTCTCCACCACGTTACCGAAAGTGTTCACAAAATCCTCGTAAGAAAGAGCATTTACAGCTGAAATGTCCATGACTTATGGGAACAGTCTTCAGTGGTGCCACAGGCAGTGTTTGTTGACCTTTACGCAACACTTTGCAACAAGGGTTAACGCACCGCTGGACACACAGAACACCCCCCACCCTCCCCGGATAGTCTGGCAGTGGTTAATATTTTCTTATGGAAACTATCTGACACTGGAAAGAACAGTTGGCTGAGTATAAAATAGGAGGAAAACAGTGATTTAAATTTTAGCTGCAGGGTCCTTATTCAGCATTACAATTCTGAGCTCTGGCGTCCCCTAGCGCTGAACAAAGGTCAGCAAAGAATATAAATCAGACGGCTATCCATTAAAACAGCGCGACGCCGGTATTGAGATCATGATAAGGCTTCAGTGGTGGAAGAAGCAGGCAGATCCTACATGAGAATAGCCTGTAGCGATAGAGCTGCAGGAAAATTTTACGTAAGCTAAAAGACCTGCACTGAAAATGATGGCATTTTCAGACAAATTCCAGGGATCACATTTCCTGAACGAGGCTCTTTAAGTCTGAATGGCTAAAACTAATTGTGTAAACCTACCTACAATCTTTGTTTTCTTAGACCCGATAATGACGATAATGATACAATAAATAGTTTTGTGGATATTTTGTTGACTCTATTTCCATATTTTTACATGCTTTACTGAACAGGTATGTGCCACCCTGCCTGGACCTCTTGCCCCTCATTTGCCCCCATTTAAAGTTTTCTAGTTCCGCCACTTTAAAAAAGGAAACATTAAAAAAATGTACTTCATTATTACTGTCATTTAGTAAAATCTACTTTTAAGTAGAACACAGCTTTTCTCCCAGTGGCATCATATACTGCATCACATTGTACGAAAATCTTCATTTAAAATTTGTGATTGCCATTAATTCTGCAGGATCCTGAAATACTCACACACCTGCAATCATGTTTCTCTGCCTCCAAATGTTCATTCTCCTGGTATGCAGGGGGAAATGTTCTTACTGCAACTCCACTACTCCACCTACATGGCAATTTAACCCGCAGGGAATTAGGAAGGCTCATCACTATGATGCTGTATAAACATGGTTGGCAGGACACCTAATTCCTACACAGATTTACTACTGCACAAAATCACATGGGCAAAAACTGCCTCAGTCCAAAAAAAGAAGAAAAAAAAGTTTTATTAGTGAGCACCACACTCTCACTGGAAATAAGATACACAAGATTTATTTTTCTTTCAAGGCAGGCTAGTGGGCTGGGGGTGTAATTCTGGCCAGCAGCCCGAGGACATAATGTTTAGCATTATCAGCCTGTCAGCCAATCAAAAATTAGTTCAGCATCTTCCTGAGAAAGAGTTTTCATCTACCTTAATGGGCCTTGAGTTAATGGGGAGGGAGTTTTCACACAAGATCCTGGGAATGCAACTCTCAGTCTCTTTAATGAGGTTGGCCACCTCCTCATTACAGGGTAGGCTATTCCTCCTAAAGCTGCACAGGTTACTTCTAGCAGTTTTCAGTCCAATTCTTTTTTTTAAAGCAACACATAAGCCCTGAAATGAATCTTCCTTCTGGTAAAACTAAAGCATTTTTAAAACAAAACCAGCCAAATAAAAAGAAAAAAAGCTTTCCTCCAACTGTGGGCTTCAGTTCAAAAGTATTCTACAACCCTTTCCCATCCAGTTTCTCTGCGTGCATATTTCCTCCTTTCTATCCCCTTTAGAGAAAAGGGCCCCAAACCCACCAATCAATTACTTCTGGGACTCAACAGCAAATAGCTGGACTAGAGTTGATCTCCACTCCCACGCTGGTGCGGCCTAACCTGACATTTAGTAGGAGATCACACAATTACCTAAATTAAACAACAATTCAGCCGAGGTAAGGAAAATTAGGATGTATCACCAGGCAAGCAGGGAATGTTGAAGATCACGTCCTCACACTGATACACCAGTTTCAAAGAAACACATGCAAAATCTGGGTCTGTTAACAGTGACAGCAACTTTCCATTAGAGAGGAGGAGACGCAGCACATTCTGGAGCCAGGGGTTGTTATTGAAACAGGCTTAAGATCAAATGCTGCTTATCTGCACAACCAAAGTGGCTCAAATTGCCTCACCTATACAAAGGAGGTCATGTCACATGGGAGCTCATGCTTACTCCATACATCTAAGAGAGGCTTTACAGATGGAATACAGCACCTCTAACTAGAAACACAGGAAAAGAGCAGACTCATTTAGGTGTGCACAGATGTTTATTTATTTATTTGTTTGTTTTAGATACAATGTTATAGCAGAGAAAGTATTATACAGTCAGGCGTACATTTCATTTGTGAGTAAAGGAGAGACTGGTTTCATGATAAGCAGACTTTCCGTGGGTGGAAATACTTTGAGCATGAGGATAAAAATCTGTGGTCACATAGCTTCTCTCTCTCTCTCTTTTTTTCATTCACTTTAAACTTTCAATGCTCATTGCCAGGAACAAGAAGAAAACAACATCACTGTTATGGCAACTAGGAAGTTGGGGGCTTCCCTGCACTGACAATGTGCTCAGAGCAGGTCTGGCTTGTACAGGATAACAACGTGGCCACCATGAAACCAAAAAAAGCATAATACAGCAGCCATGGGTGTAAGAGCCATTTATTGTTTTTGTTTTGTGTTGTTGCACATTTGGACACTGGGGGCAGTGACATTTGCGGTTACTGCGTTTATACAGGAAGAGTTGATCTTACAATGAGTAATGGTTGAACAGCTTGATGCTACGGATCAAATGAGGAGGCAGGGGAAGCATTGCCTTGGAGGCCTCAAAACATTTACACTGAGTTTTTCAAGTAGCACTCAGAACCTGTCTCGACCCCTTCTTTGACTTAATAACTGCAACCAAACTCCACCAGCATGTGTAGAAATCTCTTCACAAAGCTGTCAGAGTAGCTGTAAATGTCTTGATGCATGCTCAATCATCCAGGTAAGTAAATCTCCAAAACTTGATTCTGTTTATCTGAACGTAGCTTTTTGTGGGAGAAATGTTTCATCCATGGAAGAAGTGGAAAAAGAGGGCTTTGCTATCCTACCCTGGAACACCACCAATCCATTGGTTCAGATATGTGGATGAAACCTGGGTGAAAATCAAATCTCAGGGGTCACATTAACTCGGTGGACCGACACATCAAATTCACAAGGGAGGATATAATAAGTGGCAGGTTAGCCTTCTTAGACTGTGAGATTTCCATGACTAATGGGGGACATCTAAAAGCTGATGTGTACTGTAAACCTACGCATACGGATCAGTATTTAAGGTTTGACTCTCATCATCCATGGAGCACAAACTGGGCGTCATCAGGACGCTACAAAACAGAGCGAACGCCATCCCCACAGACACAGCGGCCAGGGAGGCAGAAGAACAGCACATCAAGAAGGCCCTGAGTCAATGTGGTTATCCCAGCTGGACTTTTGTCAGAGAAAGCTCCAGCCGATCCAGGAGAGAAGGACAACCGCTGCCCAAGCGAAAACCTGTAGAGATCCCGTATGTGTCAGCAGTATCGGAGCAGTTGAGACACATTTTTTCTAAACTCCGGGTCTCTGTGGCTTCTAAACCCCAAAACACGCTGCGCCAAAAATTGGTCCACCCCAAGGATCGGGTCCTCTGACACAAACAGAGTAACATAGTGTATGCTGTTAAGTACCAGGAGGATTGCCAGAATTTATACATCGGGGAAACCAAACAACCTGTGGCAAAGCGGATGGCACAACACAGAAGAGCTACTTCATCAGGCCAGGACTCTGCAGTCTATTTACACCTACAGGCCAGTGGACACTCTTAAGGATGAGGATGTACACATCCTGGACAGGGAGGAACGCTGGTTTGAGCGCGGAGTCAAGGAGGCCATTTACGTGAAAAGGGAAAGACCATCTCTGAATCGAGGAGGGGGCCTAAGGGTACATCTTTCGCCATCTTACAATGCTGGGATTGCAGCCATTCCCCAACTCTCTGAATGGTACTCATGGCCATTGATCAGTGGGCTTTGATCAGTGGGTTTTGGTCAGTGGTTGTTGATCAATGGTCATGAAAATTTGCATAATTAAGACTAAGGAACTGACCTCCCAGCCCATTGTTCCTTCAGTGAGCTGGTTTCAATCATTATGCAAATGTGCTGTTTATAAGATTGGGGAAACCTGCAGTCAGCTGAGACTGAAGAAGTCACTTGGATGAGTGACGAAACGTTTCTCCCACAAAACGCTACGTCCAGATGAACAGAATCAACTTTTGAAGAGTAGCTGTAAATACACAGAAATGAGTGCAGTTCTGATACATGAGAGGAATTTTGTGGGTTGACAGGGTGTGCCTGTAACTTTTCCTGACTGGAGCTTATTGAGCACAAGAATGACATACAAGATGCGGTTTCTACAGCCCAAGTATACTTATATGATGGTGCATGAGTACTGCACAAGGCTGCATGGTGGTGCAGTGATTAGCACTATGAAGTCATCGCAAGACAGTTCAGGGTATAAATCTCTTGATTTGTTACGACATGTCTTTTTGGAATTTAAATGCTCTCCTTGTAAATTTCTGAGTTTCTTGGCATCTTTCACATTTAGACCTTCTTTATTTTGTACAGTTTGCTTAAGCTGTAGTATATAGTTGAACTCTTTGTGGTAGATAATGAAAAGTGTTGGGTTAAATATGATTTATTCAGTTCCAGCAATAAGTATAAAATGCTCACTATATTTGATTTAAAGATAAAGACACTCGATTTTACTCTAAATGATTGTGAGAAGACTATCAAGTAACATGCTGTATGGATAAAATGATATATGGGTGATAACTGTATCTGATGGTTACAGAAGATCCTTCTCAGATATTGAAATGTCTGACTACACAGACATTGTTCAGAAATGTCCACAGAGGTCAGTGGATCATTGCAGTCGCTGAAATTCTGGTGGTTATATCTTTATAACCAAGCTGAAAAAAAGAAAGAGAGTGAGACTGAGTGATAATGGTTATTCATCCAGTTGTGGAGGTGAACAGGCCGACCCTCTGCCCTCAGTCTACAAGCTGGTCAAACAGCGATGATGAGCTATGCTCTTTATTTAGTTCATAAAAAGATGTTTATAAAAAGACCAAATATATACTTTATTTTTGATGAGGTACATGAGCTCTTTATTGACTACAGCCAAGCCAGAAGCAGAAGCAAACTGCCTACTTTCAGCACCATCATGTTGTTATAAGTAGGTACACCATCTATAATATAGAAATACAAGGACAATAATAAGAATTGATTAATTAATAATTGACATTTTATTAAAAAGTAATGTAAATAAAAAGTTCTTTGTACCTTTAGAGAATACTGGGTAATGGGTTTTGCAGAACCAGAACCAAACATAGTGTCAGCAGGAAGGAGTTCTCCTCAGGTGGATTACCTAAAAAACAAAACAATGTGAGCATGACAACGTTTAGATTTTTTTTTTCTTCATCAAATATTTTCAGTAAATATATTCATGAGACTTGTTATTACCAATAGAGGGCTGAGGTGTAGGTGGGATGATCATGTAATGGGTTTTGCACCAGG